TATCGCATTGGGTGCCGGTGTGTTCGGTATGTTCATGCTATGCGAGGGTTTCATGGTTCCTCGAGACTCGATCCCGGACTACTGGATCTGGGGCTACTACCTGGCGTTCCACTCGTACTCGTTCGAGTCATTTGTGTTCAAGCAATTTGAGAACGAGACATCGGACGCGGCTAAGGGGATCCTGACGAAGTACGGCATGGAGGACGTGGACGTCACGCGTGACATGCTTCTGTTGATCGTGTACATTGTGGGGTTCCAGGCCATTTTTGCAGCCATCTTGTGGAAATTCCACACAGGCCGCCGTTGAGCGAGATAGTTTAGTCAGGCAGTATGACTCGACGTTGTGGTGATCCATTGAACGTAAGATATGCTTTATTATTCTTGGCCTGGTGTATTGAAGCTTGGTTCCCTTGAATGGACGCAAGTGCGTACATAAGATTTTTTATGTTGTACTCACCATGTCATCGTACAATTTGAACAGATGGCCCTGGACGACCAGTTCCTTGGATGTGAGTTGTCCTGATCGCTACTGTAGTACGAATCTGAGTCTAAAAACGTTGGGTAAAATACAGGTGGTGGCCAAGTAAATACTTCCAAGTAAGAAAGAAGGAAGAGGTCCATGAAGTCCAAGCTCCAAGCCTCGGCATCCGATTCTTACTATATTAATAACGTTGTCATCATGAGCAAAACCAAAGGTAATCGACTTGACAACTTGGTCAGACCACTTAAATCCAGTCGACTATCGAGCCGGGGGCAGGAAAACAACACAAAATGACACCGACAGGCAGGATCAACTTCAACACAACGACTGTCCTTGAAGGCACGATCGATTTGCGAGATTCCCAAACATGGGAAAGGCTCAGTCTCTCGGAACAATCGTGACGCAATTCCTGTTGATGGCCTCCTCATTTGTTTCGGTGCAGGCGGTGGAACTCACCATGGGTTTCTGCTGGGAAGAGCTCGGGGATGCGAATGTAGAGGACGAGTTTTGCCGATATCTGTGTCGATTATTTTATGCTTGCTGTAATCCTTTTTCATTTACATACATGATTTTTTGGAAAATTCATACCTATTTTGTCACAACTTCAAGTTCAGGTAAATTTTAGAACGAAAAAAATGCTACTTCAAAAGTAATGACCATAAATTTCTCAGTTACTACGAAGCAAAAAAATATTTAACGGCGACCTGTATGGAACTTCCACAGGATAGCTGCAAAAATGGCCTGGAACCACACAATGTACACGATTAACAGAAGCATGTCACGCGTAACGTCCACGTCCTCCATGCCATATTTCGTCAGGATCCCCTTAGCCGCGTCCGATGTCTCATTCTCAAATTG